GGGATCTATACGACATTCGTGTTCGTGTCCCCAGATTATTAGATCAAGCCATGTATGAAGAAGCGATTCCTTTATGTAACCTTCGCGATTGCGCATGCTTTGTTAGAATAAAATGTCAAACCCCCCATTAGCAATAGTGCATAAATTCATGACACCAATGAAAAATCCTCATTTCAGTTCTCGCCCCTCCTATCCCCCTCTCCTGTCTTTCTAATAATTACCGATTTTGATGCAAGACTAACAAGTGAAACCATTGATCAGAGTCTTTTGGTCTTCCCAGCTTAAACTCGCGCTTCTCAAATAACTGCATCAGCCTCAGATCACGTATATATCCCAGACCATGAAGAGCTACGCGCGTATCCCCTTTTTTAATAAGAAGCGGGCGAACCACGATGTTATCGAGGGTCTCTGTTCGGCCAAAGTAATTTATCATCTTGTTTTCGGCAAGGTTATCGAGTTCGCTTATGGAATCCGGCTTTGGTATATGTAAGATAGAGAGAGAGTAAAGGGAGAGAGAAGGAGGGAAAAGAAAGATTATGAAAATAGAAGTGTATAATTGACATAAAACAGGTGGGTTATTGGAACTAGATGATTGTCGTAGTTGAACCATTGCTTACTCCGGTTGGATCATCATGGTTTCCGTGAATTGCAAATATTGGCATTTTGATATTGATATTTTCATCCTCAAAGTTGGCTTTCCTGAGCATAGCATATCGTTAATTCACTTTAATATAATTAGACAGAACTAACATAGTATGATTAATCTTCACCCACTCTTTTGACAAGACACTCTTGGTTCCAGCAATAATTTCAAAATCAATAAATCGATCCCCGATAACATATTCTTGTAATAAAATCATCAATCGATGTCGAACATGTTTCGGCGGCTGATTTTTATCAAAAAGATCGCCACCCAGTAGAATCATATCTACCTACACGCGAGCAAAATACTTGAATTATTATCAGAGCCAAGAGAAGGAGAAATTCTAAAATACGTTGTATACTTTATTTTGCTCAGCAACATCCAGAATTTCTTTAAATGTTACGAATGAGTCGTCTTGAAGCACCACATCACCATCCTTGTAACCAAGGTGGTTATCAGAGGTGACAAGTATTTTGAGAGTATTTGGCCCGTCTTCAATGGGGGGCCCACTGAAAGAGTTCAAGGCAGATCAGTGGGCAGTTGCGAAATAACGGGACGAAAAGATATCGAGAATACTTGCATAGGCATCTTAGAATATTGGTTACGATAGGGGACATCCAAAATACTACGCGACTATATCTTCCGAGATCACATGACAATAATGATAAGTATGTTGTACACTCACCGGAACAAAATCCGCTGATCAATTAGTAAAACATATTTCTTCAGAAAGCTCTATTGTGCGTATTTACTATGAAAGACGCAGTGATTTTGTATTTATGTGAAGATAGTTGGTCGTACGTTTTGACATGTTTTATCCTGCAGTTCGATAAAGTGAAAGTATCTATGTTACACATGAAAATCATATTTGTAACATATATACTGTTCCCATTTACTCTGATCCTTTATAAAGTCACTTACAATGATTGAAATTTAAATTATTGTTTTTGTTAAAGTACATATATCTAACAAATGATGTAAATTTATTGTGACTTATATTGCCCATTTGGGTATTTGGCCCGGGATTATCACATTACATTGCTGTAGCGGTAGTGTATGATATCGATATCCACAAAGTTCATTTCAGTCACACTCTGTACCACACGAGGCAGTATTACGTATCACGATTTGTATGCTGGGATGTTATTGGCATTTACACTTGGCTACGTTCGAAACGATTCTTCCCGAAACATGCAATCGTCTGACAACTCATACAGGGAGTGGTTAGTTAAGAGTATCAAAGAAGGATTTATCAAACACTACTCGGAAGATGACATCCAGGATTATACACGTCTCAGTGGTGGTGGATATGGTGCCGTACACAAAGCCCGCATAAAGCATTCTGGAAAATTAATCGTTACGAAAACTTTGGTTCTACCTCAAGACAGATGTGTAGATAAATTATACATGGATTTTGTCAAAGAGGTTGGCGCCACTTTCCTATCGTCGAAATTGATTGTATAGCGTTTAAAATTGTATAAACTGATTATAATATGATAGCTGAGAATTCATAAACAAGTGGATGATCATCCAAACGTTATTCGGTTCTTGGGAATATATCAAGGTGCATAAACATCAAGTAATATTTAAACATCATATTTTCCAGTACATAGTGGTTATAACTTATCCAACTCTATAAATCTATGACCTGAACAGATAAGTGTGGCCCCTTACCCTATCACATGGTGTTTGAGTATGCAGACGGTGGAACTTTGTCTGAACACCTACGGAAAAATTTCTCCAAGTTGACATGGAAGGACAAATATGGGCTGGCTTTGGGAATTAGTGATGGGCTGTTGTATTTGCATAAACTCGGAATTGTTCATAAGGACTTGGTGCGTGTTGGTATAGCTTTTTAATAATTATAATGGGAT